CCGACGGCCCTTCCTCAGCTACGACGAGGATGCCAAGGTGTCCACGCTGCGCGTTGTGGTCTTCGGCTCTGACCGCATCTCGGGCAAAGTGGCCCGAGCCTACAGCAACCTCAGGTGAGCCAGGTAGTGCGAGGGACCCAGCTGGAGGCACCTGGCCCTGCTGGGACACGCAGGAGGGCTTTTCTCACCCAGCCCTCTCCTACCTTCTCCCAGGCTCAAGGAGAGCACCTGCCCCTCACTGACAAGGTACTTCAAGCTGCAGTTCTTCTACGTCCCTGTGAAGAGGAGCTGCTTGGCTCCGTCGACCCCACTGATGCATCCCCCTTCATCCCCGGGGGACCCGCAGCTCCGTGCCTCGGCACAGGTGGTAGGTGTCCTCACCGCAGGGCTTGCGGTGCCACCGGCGCTCTACTTGCCCCAAAAGCCGTGTTCGAGGAGGTCGGCAGGGCAGGCTGAGGGGAACGTTGGGGTCTCTTCCACCAGCCCTAGGTGTGGGCTGAGGAGCCTGGAGGGGCCCCTGGTGTGACCTCAGTGTGCTGCTTTCAGGATTTCACCGTGACCAGGATGGAGAGCAGCACCAACGACATCTCCCACTACATCGGCATGTTGGACCCATGGTACGAGCGCAATGTTCTTGGGCTGATGAACCTGCCCATGGATGTCCTGTGTCAGGTACGTGCGTGCTGTCCCCCTTCCCCCGAGGTGCAGGGGAGCTGAGCAGAGAGCTTCTGCTTAGCGCTGGGCCACTGTGGTCCTGTACAGGAGGCTGTGCTACATGGACACGGGATGGAGCATGGCGTTCCCAGTGGTCAGGAGGAGGGTTTCTGCCCCCCGTGGGGTGGGGCAGGCAGTTCTGGGTAGCACATACCCCATCAGGCTTGTGACTTACTCTCTCACCACAGTCTGCCAAGCCAGAGGCCGAGCCCCAGGAGGACTCCCAGGAGCAGCTGCCCATCTTGGCAGACATGATCCTCTACTACTGCCGCTTCGCCACGCGCCCCGTCCTGCTGCAGCTCTACCAGACGGAGGTAGGCAGAGGGGCTCATCCCTGGATTGGTGAGGGGGAAAGGGAGGTCTTCTGTCTGTGCCACCAACTCGGGACCTGGCTGTGAAGCAGATGGGGAGATGGCACAGCCACCACGTGCTGGTGAGGCGGAGCTCAGTCTCCTGCGATCCCCTGGGGTGCCCATGGTGCTTTGGCTGATGCTTCTGACTCATGGATTGAGAGCGTGCAGGTCCTCCCCAGACGGTCCCTAAGTTACATGAGCAGTTTTCCATCCAAATACCTTTCCCCATGATACACAGACTCCTGTCAGTGCTGACAGGTTATTCGCATTGCTGGAAGTCTCTCCAGTGCTCTGCTTTCCAAACCAAGCCCCTCCACAAAGCCTGTTTTCCACTCTGTGCATGGGACAGACATGGCGGGGAAGGTTGATTGCACGGCTGCAACAACTGCTTTGGTGCTGTGACGTGGGACTGGCTGCGGCGGGGCTGTGGTGAGCAGAGTTGCTACTGCTCGTGGGATTTGTGTTAATCAAAGCAATGCCCAGACCCTGCTACTAGGCTCATTGTGGGTTTTCTTTTCAGTTGGGGAGTTTCCTTCAAGTGAAAAAGTAGGTTTTGGGGCTCTTTTACTTGCTGGCGATCTGTTAAAACAGTTGGAAATAACAACCGAAGGCAAGTGTCACCCAAGACAGTGGTTGGAATTTGTGTGTTGAATATGTGAAAGGATTTTCCCAAACTGACCTGTTTCCTGCAGAAAGGAGTGAGAGGGGTGGATGCTGCCTAGCGTGGGCTGGGTCTCCTCACCACATCTTCCCTCTTCTCCCCCTGGCAGCTCACCTTCATCGGGGGAGAAAAGATGACTGAAGTCTTCATCCATTCCCTGGAGCTGGGCCACTCAGCGGCCACGCGGGCCATCAAGGCGTCAGGTCTGTAGCCTCAGGGTAGAGACCTGCCAGCTGCTGGGCTGGGAGATGGAAGGAAAGAGCGGCCGGAGGAAGTGTGGGCTGGAAGAGTTGTCTGAGCCCAGGCTGCATCATGGGCAAAGATCCAGACATCTTTTCACGAATTTGGAAGTGAAGCATCGTAGTTCTTACATTCCTCTTCAGGGAGGAATCTGTGGCAATGTCTTGTTTTTGCTGCTGTTAACTCTAAAACGTACTTGCAATAGCACATCTTCAAGCCCATTTCCTTCCTCTCATCAGCACCTGGCAAACACAGCTCATACTTTTTTTGCTGCTTTCTGTTATTGTTCTTTGCTCAGGAGTGTCATTTATAAAAACTCTTTCCATTTTCCTTAGTTTACTGGGCTAAGCAAGGTTTGTGCATGTGCTTGTAGCCTTCCTTCAAGGAAGATCCATGAGCTTTTACACTAGGAATTTATAAAATTGGTAGAGACAAGTAGTAGTGGCAGAAGCATCTGCCTTGCAGCATGGTGTCCAGCTTTCCTGGGAACCAAGGACAACATGCTGCCTGGTGCAGCACAGCTCGCAGAGACATCTCATGGCCAACCAGCAATACTGCACTTAAACACGCTGCTTAATTTTTTTAACCAATTGCTTTTCTGTGATCTCGCCTTGTCTTTCTAAACATAGCTCATAAAATACCCTCCATATGAAGTGTCACCACCCCACTCCTCCAAAATACAGGCTTGTCCAAGACCTCTTCCCAGTAACTCCTGAAACCACCAATCCTTTCTGACTTTGATTTTATTTTTTTCCCTTTGGGTTGTCTGGTAGCACACCACATCTGCAAAAAATCATCCAGGAAATAAGTTAGTAAGTGTCGGGCACAGTATTTCAAAGCTAATTTAATGTGGGCACAAATATGCCTGGAACAACAGGAGCTGGATTAGCAATGTGGCCTTTTATTGCTTTGTGTTTTCCCTGGAGCAGTGACCTCTCTGCACCGGCTTAGCCAGCGCTGCTTTCAGTTTAGTGAGCTGCTTGTTGTGCTTTGTGCTGAAATTTCTGCACTGGATTAATTGCTTTCTGGCGGCTTTTAAGCCACCTTTTCTTTTTCCCTTTTTGCTCCACAGCTGTGTTCAACAAACCATTTTTTTTTTCCCCCCTTTTCTGTAGGTACTCAGTGTATCAGTAGCCTGCTGAAGAATGGGGATAAAAGGCCACCGTGTGACATTTGCTCCTTGTTTTGTGCAGGTCCGGGCAGCAAAAGACTGGGCATAGATGGAGACAGAGAAGCAATCCCACTAACACTACAGATCGCCTACAGCAAGGTGACTGCACAGGACTGGAGCAGAGACAAATGGGGCAGAAAACCACTTCAGTGCTGGGCAAACACGTCGCTCTGCTGCGAGCTGAGAGGGGCAAACTCTGCCAGTGTGCTGGAGCAGCCTGAATCCAACCTCAGACGAGCCAAACTCAAGCTAACTGTCTGCTTATTGGGCTTCCACTCCTGTTCAGCCCAGTAAAATAGGGAATGTGCAGCCAGTTGCCACAGACTGGGTGTGTGCGGGGTGACACTGGTGGGCTCTCCTTCCAGGGAGCGATCTCCTGCTGGTGACAGCAGTCCTCCTGTTCTGTTAGTTCCTCTACAGTTATTTAGTGTTAAGCCTGGGCATTTTTGTAAATCCAAGGTGAAACGAATTTTAGTGCCTACTCAGACTTTGTCTGTGCAGCTCCAGGTGAATCCAGATCTGAGCTGGTCCAGCCAGATGGTTGGTGGGGGGAGGTGGAGTAACATCAGCCTGGAGCGTGGCATCTCACAGGCTTTGGTTGGTCTCTGCAGACAGCCATCAGCGGAAGAAGTCACTGGAACGATGTCGAGAAGGTCTGCACGTCTGTCAACCTTAGCAAAGCCTGCAAGAAGCACGAAGAACTAGGTGGGTAGATGGGGGGTCTTTTGCCTTTGCGTAAGGAGGGACCAGTGGAGCGAGAGGACAGTGTGGATATTCTGGCTGGAGCAAAGCAGGCATGGTTTAGATTAGATATCAGGAAGAAATTCTTCACAGAGAGGGTGGTGAGGCACTGGAACAGGTTGCCCAGAGAAGCTGTGGATGCCCCATCCCTGGATGTCTTCAAGGCCAGGCTGGATGAGGCTTGGAGCAACCTGGTCTAGTCGAAGGTGTCCCTGCCCATGGCAGGGGGTTGGAACTAGATGATCTTTAAGGTCCCTTCCAACCCAAACCATTATATGATTCTATGTGTGAGTGCAAGAGATGGGAGGTGCCTGGTGTTCCCTGGGATATGCTGTAGTCCTTGGCTGTCCTTAGCACTACATCAGGGATGAAGGGCATTTGATTTTCCACTGTCCTAAAGCTTCCAGCTAGGGAAATGGGATGTCCGTGAGGGATGGGGCTGGGGTGGTGCAAATAGCAGCATGATCCCTGGAGAGTGGTGCTTTCCCAAACAACACTTGTTTAGTAAGGAGGAGAAATGTGTAAAACTGATGTTAAGTGAAGTAGCGCCAAGGGAGAGGGTGCTTGTCCTGCCGACCGCAGCAGCTTTTTCAGCAGGCTCTTGCTAAGCTGGTGCTTCACCCTGGTTTCCTTCCTGCAGCTCAGAGATAGCTGGCTGCCACACGGGTTTTCTTCACAGGTGCTTTTTTTTCTTTTTTTCTAATTGGGTTTCTGATGGGGTATTAATAAGGCAGTGAGCCTTTTAAAAGCAGCAAGACTTGTAGTCTGTGTGTATACTTAGAAGCAATAGCTATTCATTCTTGTTTAAGAACTGCGCTTTTGGCAATCAGATACCCAGTTCTGAGTAAACTGGGGTTTTTTTTTGGTTCCTCTTTCCTGGTGTGCTTTGTGTCTGACAGTTGTGTGGTTTGTCAGTGGAGTAGTCGGGTGATGTACCAAATAGGAGACAGCTCCTTACATGTCTCACGGAGCTCAACCTAAACCTCTGTCCCTCCTGTCCAACCTGTTGCTACCCCATCCGTGAAGCCATGCAGATAACCCTGAAAAAAATTCAGAAGGAATTAATTTCCTACCTCCTCTGTACATTTTGAGTTGGTTTTTCTTCAGGAGATGTCCTCAGTTCCACACTGAGGGGAAGCTGCCTTTTCATGAATCTCCTTCCTTCCAAGAGAAACCCAGTCGCCTTGATGGTCTCTGCTGAGTTTCACATTTATCAGCTTCACCACAGGATGTCACTGTAATTGCAGACATAGAAAAGCATCTCCCGGTGGCCTGCAGGAAAGGCCACACTGGGACAGACTGAATTTCCTCATGATGGGGCAATGGGTTTTGTCCCGTTTAGGTCCTAAGATAGTTAAATGCCCTTTGCTGCTGTGTTTGGAAAGCAGTTGGAAGTTACTCTGAAGTTTACATCTGTCTCTCCGATTGCTTTCTGTGCAGGTTAGCACTGGGGCCGGAAAGCTAAAATTGTATTGTGTTTCCCTTGGCAGGGGGGTCCTGCTGAGAACCACCGTCTCTGGGTTGCTTTGAGGGGTGGAGGAACAACTTGGGTTCCCACCAGTGGCCCAGAAGCCCCAGGTGATAACAGTTTTCTTTTGTTACAGCCTCAAAGACAGAGTGTCTCAACTTGACCGTGACAGAGGTTGTCAAAAGGCAAAACTCCAAATCCAAAAAAAGTTTCAATCAGGTAACTCAAATCATGGTGCTCCTACATTTGGTACCAGGATGTCAGCCTGGCTCGGCTGGGAGGGAAGGAGGGCAGGAGACAGTAGCTCACTGGGGGACCTGTTCGCTGTTGGTCACCAGGCCTGGCTTAGGAGTGCCCAACTCCCATTCCCTGCACAGGGATAATGCACAGAGCCTGGCAGCTCCCTCACGCAGACTTTTTCTATCAGCAGATCAGCGTGTCCCAGATAAAAGTAGACAAGGTCCAGATTATTGGTCTCCAGTCCTCCTTTGCCGTGTGCCTGGACCAGGATGAGCAGAAGATCCTGCAGAGTGTAACCAGGTAGGAACTGCAACGTGGCCAGCTGACCACTGCAGTCAGCGCTCCTGGCATGGTGCATCCTGTGTGTAGTCTGTGAGGTGTGGCTGGCTGTCAGGGAGATGAGGTCCTGGGCACCACGGTGGATCTGTACCAGATGCCCACGCTGGGTGACATAGCTCCAGACTCTGTAGTGCACTGAGCTCAGGTGGGATGGATGGTCCTGCTCAGATCCCAGCAGCAGTTTTCTTTCATGACTGCCAGAACCTAAAGGTGGCCCCCAGTAAACTGTCCAACTCTGTAAAGACGGCTCTTTCAGCGAGACCAGTCGTAAGCCAGAGGGAAGCTATGCAACATAAATGAGGTATTTGGAGAGTCTGGGCACATGAGCAGAGCCTTCAGCTTCTAAACCTCACCGCCTTCAGCACACCCATTGTAGAAGGAACCACTGATCTTCACGGGAGAGACTGGGATAGAGCAAGAATTGTTCATTTGACTGTTCATCCATCACTTGTGTCCTTGGGGCACTAAGCTGGCTCCCCAGGTGATGGAATTTGAAAACTCACTGTAGACAACATACATCCATGAGCACAGAGAGATCAAACCAGTTGATGCACGAGTCTTAATGTGCAGGCATTTTCATTTCTCCCTCAGAGGGACCAGAGCTCTGCAAGGTTACGATGCCTCCAAAGGAAAAAGATTTCAGACCTCATTTCTTAAATAACCCTCAAGAGAAATAGTTCTACTTAACTTGTTTGTTGTGCAGCTCAAGGGGATAATGGGAAAGTTCAGTGCACAAAATGGAAAATGAGCTATTTCTCTCTCTTCAAAACCTGGGGGATGCAAAAGTTCTCCATTTCCCTAATGATTTTCAGAAATTACTCTTTATGGATGCTTCTGCACTAGGTCCCAACCTCAGCCAGCTTCAAGACCTGAACTCTCAGCACTCAGTCTCCAGTCCTATTAAAGACTGGACTGATTCCTGTTTGTTTGTGGGTATTTCTACTGCACCTGAGGACTGTGATTCTCAGCCACATGCCTTGCTTACAATTTGGCTTCTTTTTGTTCCCCTGCAGATGTGAGATCTCTGTGTGCTACAAACCCAGGGATGGTGATCTCTTTGCACTGAGAAGGTCCTCTTTGCCTCCCCAGGACCACTCTGAGTTTCATTCTCTCCTGTGCTTACCCATTGCCACCTTCAGTGGAGCACTGCCGTAGAACCACCCTGTGTCCTTTCAGGGCAGACTCACATCCAGCACCAATATAGCCTCAGGAAAAGGAAGCTGACTGTACCTTCGGGCTGGAGACCCATCCGTTCTTGTCTAAGCCATCCTGCAGCCCAAAGCATTTGCACGGTGGCTGAGCTGCTCCTGGTCTGGGCTTAGCCTCTGGGAATGGGAACACTGGCAGTGTGCCCTGGTATCTCTCAGGGTTCCTCAGCAATGGGAGGAATGTGTTCAGCAGACTGCCAGCACCTGGATTGAGGGCAAGGCAAGGACAGTGGTATTTTCCTGCCACCAAATGGTGCTGGGGCTGTATTTGACAGTGACTGCAAGGTCGGTGTGATCTGAGGGGAGCTCTTGGAGGGACCTTTTGGAAAATTAATGTCCTTGGCTGAGTGGTGGTGGGTGGCCTTCAGTGCATGCAGAGCTGCAGACCCCCAGCTGAAGTCCTGATGGCATTTCACCTGGAAGAGGTTGAGGATGCTCAGAACACCTCTTTTGAGGTGGGGACAGGCTCTCTCAACATTTCCTTTAAATTATGAAGGTTGGGTGTCTTGCAAAGACACAGTGCAGAGCAGAGTGACCCAGGTGAGACCCAGAAAGACCCAAGCATGGGCTGCTGACTGCTGCTTGTGTTCCAGTGAATCGAGTGCAATCGGCCGTACCAGGGCATAGACAGCTTCTCACGTGTACCTGCATTTGCTGTAAATCCAGGACCTGTAGGAGAGGAATTTCCAACTTCTGCAGAATGTCAGAGTTCACCCAGGAGATGTACTCCCTGTTCAGCTCATGTCCTTGCTTCCTTCTCTACCACTGTACAGTAGAGACATTCCAGAGGCTGAATCCTTAATAGCTGCCTGAAATATGGCAGGAACCATGCTTGCATTTATAGGAGGGAGGGAGGTACTAGGAAAACCACTAGGATTGCCTGAAGCTTCCCTGAGGAGGCCATTTTGCTAGAGAAGGACCCAGCACCAAAAACACTAGTGACAGCTTGCAAGCGACAGTAGGATTTGAGATCTCCCCTCCCCTGCAAAGAGGCTTTCCATCCTCTTCATTGTCTCTGCAAGGCTGCGAGTACAGAAAGGTGCAATAGTTGGGAGTATTTACCAGTTTTCTGACCCCAGGAGCAAAAAACAAGACTGGAAAAGCCTTGCCTGGTTTTATAGCCCTCAAGCTGTTTTCTCGGTAGCTTTTGGCAACTGCAGTAGTGATAACAGGCAGAAGAGCATGCTGCCTGCTGAGGCTAAAAGCATCTTAATGCCAAGGACCTGTGCTCACTGGAAACATCTGGAAGGGACCCCCATTACTGCTGGGGGGTTGCAGAGCTCAGGCACAGTGTGATCAGTTCAGCATGGGTCCCTTGATCCTCCAGAAAACAGGACCTGTCAGCTCCTAGCATTGATTAGAACACGGCTGGGCTCTGTCCCCAAGGGCTGGAGGCACAGCAGCAGTGTCATTTGGGTTAAATCTGTCAGGAAAAGGGTCAGAGGCCCTGGGGTCTACAGTTGCTTCTGAGGAGCATGGGTCAGGATTGTCTGCTGGATTCCTCCACGTCCCTCCTGGAAGTGTTTCAGGGATCCCTCCTGTGCCAGCGACATTCATCCTGGCCCCACTGGCTGCTGGACCTGTCTTCTGTCCCCACGGCCTCTGTTGTTTGGGGACAGCTTGGTCTAGTCCCAGTGGTGAACATCTTGTGTTGGGACGGTGCCAGCTGGCTTCTTGGTGTCCTCAGCAGCTCTGGATGCAGCTTCTGCCGATGGCCAGAGATGAGCGAAACTGAGACATGAACGTGTTCCTGAGGCCTCTGCGCTTCATCCTTGTACTTGAATAAACCATCCCAAGGATGGTGTTGCCTTGCGGACTCCAAGCAAAGACCCTCATGCAGGGCGAAGCATCACTTGAACATAAGCAGGCAGTCTGGCTCCACCATGATGCAAAGCCAGCCTGGACCCTCGGCAAGGACCCACCTTCCCCAGCCACGCACTGGCTCCAGGAGCACCCATCCTTCCTTACGTGCACGGAGCAGTGTCCGTCCCTTGCTCACAGTGTGGGCCAGGTCGTGGTGGGCTGTCCCCTCTCTCATAGGGTGCCAGTGGGGCAGTGTGGGACTGTGTGCTGAGGTCACTGCTGGCCCTTCTGCACATCAGTGTGTTAAGTCCAATAGGCTCAAAGGATCAGAAACAGATTTTAATAGTCCTTTCCATGCACTTGGGATACGTTTTCCCACTGAGTTTAATTTCCCAAACAGGATTTTGTGCATCTACTCAAATGGGGCTGAAATTTGACAGCTGGTTTTTTTTTTTGTTGTTGTTCGATACTTTAAAATAGCACCTTATCCTGTCAAAACATTGCTATTTGTCATCTCGATATCTGTGGCTAAATATATCACTGCCGCTGTTAATGATATAAACCTCTTTGGTTTCAACTGGCCCTACAGAAATACTAGAGAAGAGAATTTCCATCTCCGAGAAGAACAAGCACAAACTCTGGGGACTCATAATCCTGGCTAAGGTGGTGACCTCTGATGCTTTCTGGGCATGAAAGAAGTCCGAGGTTCTTTCAGGTCATCCTTGTACATATGTGCAGCCTTATCAAATCTGTGTAAAGTCTGTGCTGATCTGTAAAATACCGTTCAAAGAACTTTTAAAGTAATTGTAAAATATTAAATGTTGATTTTATTTCGAGTACAAGTACAGCGTTTTGAGTCGAGTCATTCCTGAGCAGGCGGGAGGCCGAGGCGGGCAGGGAGCACCCGGTCCACTGCTGCGTAACTGACCTGGGAGCAGGGAAAGGCTCATAAAGTCATCATGTTCATGAGCTTGGTCCCGGAGGGCACAACATGGAGACCGACAGGGCTTAATTGAGCCACCTCTGTGAGTAAATGATGCTGTAAATCCAAACTTGGTTTCACGCTGAATTAAGGAGAAAGGAAGCTAGCAGGGCCTGTGTGTGCAAGGCGAGATCTCGGCGTGTCCTTCCAGGAGGCTCCTTGACCTTTGCAGAGAAATACGAGCTGTGCCCAGAGCTGGGTGCCTGGCAGCTCGCGGGTCCGTGGGCAAGGTCCAGCCCCGGGGTGTACAGCAGAGCCCTGGGATGAAGGGTGATGGCTCAGGGTCAGCAGGCTTGTTCCCAGCAGCTGGGTTTTGGGGTATCCCTGACTTGGAAATATTTTGCATCTTTGGGGGTGCAGACTGTGCAGATGAAGCTGTTGCTCCTTAAAGTACTCTCAAATACGAAGTGGCACTTGGGTAACTGTCTCGCGTCACCTTCTCTCCTGGGGGTATTCAAGAAAAGGAGGGGGTAGTTTCTAGGTGTGAGGACCAATACGCTGTAATCAAATAAACAACATGGGAAAAGTCATTTCAGCTCAGACAAGCCAAAAAACCAAATGAGACTAACTTCTGTTATTCAGCACTTCGTCATGTATAAGCTATCACATTTTTTCACTCTGATTAGAGAATAACAAAGGTGTTTTTTTAAATAAAAAGAAAAGGGTCTTTTGAAGAGGCAAATAAAATTCAAAAGAAAAATACTTTATTCTTCTGAACTGGAATAATAATCTGCTTTTGTTTGTTCTCAACAACAACAACAAAACCAAACTGAAACCACAAATCCCTCTTCCTTGTTCTTTTCTTCTTAAAAAGAAAAGTGGAAAGAGGAACACACACTTAAATCCAAAGCAGAAAAAGTACTTTGTTCTAAAAACATGCATGACTGTAAGTTTAGGACCAGGGCTCTAGTCTGATCCTTGAATTGCTGCATAGCTGAGGGTTTTGTTCTTGTAAGTACAAAACATTTAGCAAACAGATGCTGATACAATAAGCAAGCCAGGGTTAAGGCTAGACCGTTTAACAAAACTAGTTTTGTCTCTTGTAGGTATGGTCAAATCAACTTGACAGCTTTTTGCAACTCTCACAGCATCAAAGCTGAGCTGATCTATGGGCTGTCCGCATCTGCGAGGGATGGGAAGACAGTGGAAAAGGTGTGTTTGGCCTTTCAGGCTGGGAACACCAACTTTTGTTGGCTTCCTGATGAGATAGGTTATAACAAAAAACATGCGTTGGGGTTTGGGTATGTGTTAATTCACCATGGTTCAGTGGCGGTTTGAGATGGTCCCCTGTTCTGTCAGGTGCTGCTGTCCCACAGCCACCTGAGCCGAAGGTGCTGGCGGGGGGCTGGACATGTTCCACTGCTTCTCCTGTTCAGCAGCGTGCTCCCCACAACTTCTCCCTGCCAGCGCCACAAGGAGCATCTGGGTGTGGATGCTTGTGCCAGGCACCGGTGTGTCACAGGAGCTGACCGAGAGCCAAACCTGCCACCCCAGAGCCACAATGGCTCAGTGCTGGCAGGGAGCAAAGAGCTTAACACATGCAGGCAATGTCAGTCAGGTTGCTCAGGGTCCAGCCAAGGTTTTGAACAACTTCAAGGACGGAGATGTTTTAGTGCATGAGGTGGAGAACATCATCCAGAGAAGGGGTCCTTAAGTAGCCAATCCTGCCTTGACAGCTAATGGGGAATACAGGATGACTTCGCATCAATAGGCAGGAATGAGACTGCCTGTACTGGGTCCACTATTAAAGTCGTTAAGATACCCCTCTGAAAGGTAGAAAAAGCAGGTGCCATCCTCTTTTGGCAGGAGGGGCAGTAGAAGCCTCTTCTGTGGCCTAAGTAGGTCAACATCAGGTTTTCTGAATGGAGATGTTGCTGTGAGGCCTAGTGAATGTTCCCAAACCACGACAGTTGTATCTTGGAGTGCTTTGAGTGAGGGAAAATTAGATTTGCTCCTAAATGTGGTATTTGTTTAGACTGACTTTTCTTTGTCTTTACTGTCATGTTGGGAAAAAAGTTGATGTGCTCTGCCAGAGGCGAGCAGAGGTCTGCCAGGCCCAGGATCAGGCCAGCTGCCAGGAGAAAGCTGGAACCTGCACCCAGGCTTGGTGTGCTGGGACAAAATCAGCCCAAGCATTTGGATGGTGATGGGGCACTTCACCT